TGCTCAAAAGTTGGTATATTCATCCCTCAACAAAATTATATCGTAGATCTACTAAATGAAACATGTATGATGGGAAGCAAGTGTAAGATTCCAAAAATGTTATGAGATGGGGCCCACTCTCCATCTTAACTGTTTATACAAAGGAATAGATAAGTAAGGAATTGAATGTGGGAAACTACTGCCTTGCCTTGCACAGCAGAGTGCAGTGAATTGGAGAAGAATTCGGCAACTCTTCTGTAGCAAATTTCGGTTCTAGTCTCCCGGGACTGTAGAGAAAGCCGCAACCTGTAAGGGAAATTCGCATATCTCCTGTAGCATTAGGCGGAAGTGTTCTGGTAGAATTAATACAGCGGCATAGTGCAACGTCTAAGGACATTTTGGCCTGCTTTGTGGACTCGATACAAGACAGTAATTGGTAGGGATTTCAGTTATGAAAGAAAACAAAGAATTGAAACTTGGGAACGACATCTCTGGAAGGGAATTTGGGCTGTGGGAACAAGTATCAATGAAGGAAGAATGAGAAAGAAAATTGTAGTGAAATAAAAGATAAGCATTCTTGGTATTTTGTCAGTCTTTTATATTCTTGAAACGAAATGATAAAAGAAATGATAAAAGTTCTAAGTGTATACAATTGTTAGGTTAGGATTCATCACATACATACATGCAAAAAGAAAGTTTTGGGGTGGACTTAAAATCACAGAAGAGTCCATAGTAAGGAATTGGAGGAAACGACTCGTCAAGGAGGTAAGTTGAGTAAATTTGTTATAATTATAATGATCGTAAACTTTTGAGTAGTTCCTAAATTCTTGGGATTGTAGTGATAACTGAATTTTATTATGTAATTTTTATTAGTACTCTTGAGAATGCATTGAAGTATTCACAATTTCTTGTTCATAGAAATATGTGAGATTTGATATACAACTATATATGATTAAATCGGTTTGGTATTGTTGATCAAGATTGAAGGTAATGTATATCAAATTCATCTTAAGTCGGATTTATGAGCACAAACATATTGGTCAGTCTATAACCCTTCGATGAATTATGAATTATAAATATGTAAGGATTACTAAATATTTATTTAGTAAAGATTGACTATTCTATTTTATAATATTTATAATATCAGGTGGACGAAAATGTCTCAAATATGAAACTTGTATTGTGGATGGGGCAAAACGGACTCCAGAGAAATTAAATGACTGCATAGCAGGTAGGGCAAAAGAAACCCCTGGAGAGGCAAAAAGGACCTCAATGAAATTCAATAGTGATAATGTCAGGTCCACCTGGACTTCATTGAATATGTTTAAGGAAGTATGATCAAATCTTTTAAAAGACTAAATATTCAGTATCTACCTCAATTGCCCCTATGGATGATGCCAATATAACTTTATGATGTTTTGCAAATAGTGGTAAATTAATTCATTGATTAGCTCAATGTTATAATTCTTAATAATTTTATATTATAATTGTTATTTATTTGGCATAATTTATTAAGTCTCACAACTCACCAGTATTTTCTTGATGGATGTTATTACAAAAAAGGGAAAGGAGAAGATTGTTACAGTTTAATCTATGTTAAGGTTATCTTTGATAGTGAGTCTTCTGGTGATGTATGAAAACATTTCAGAAATGAATTTTATTTGGATTTTATTCGTGGCTCTGTAAGGATGTTTATTGAAGTTTTAATTTATTAGTTGCTTATGTTGATGTAACAATTGAAATATGATTGGAGGTTTTATATGAATTTATAATGTGAGAAATTGTATTAAATGTTTTGAGAAAGCAAAAAAAAGTTATGTTATGCATATTCACTCTACAGTACTATTAAGAGGTATTGTGGGGTATTACAACAAGCCCTCAACAATTCATATTTATGACTGCCACAAACACAAAGAGGTATGGATAACCCAAAAGTTGACAAAAGGAGATATCAAAGATTGATTGTGTTACTTATCTACCTTGCCCACACAAAACAAGATAATGTCTACGTCGTAAGTGTTCTAAGTTAATTTATGCATAATCCTAAGAAAACAAACATAAAGACAAGTATTTGCTTATACAATAACAGCTACAGCAGTTTAATTTTAGTTATTTTATATTTTTGACATTATTTATGTGTCATACTAGATTTTAACCACAACACTTATAAGTACTGTTGTATTAACTCCTATTGAGGCATATAAATATGTTTTTTTGTTATATAGTGATTATTCTTACATGAAATAAAAATCAGTTATTGAAATAATGCATATGTCACAATAAGTCTACTTTAAGCATTTTTATGTTCCTATGGATTAACTTTGTTATATTGTGAAAGAGATATTATAAGATTGATAACCTAAAAAAAGTAGAGAGCGCGCTTAGACCTAGGATTTAGTTTCAGAGAACACTTGCTTGACCTTTCAATTCATGACTTTTAGACTATCTATCAGTTGTGAGAAGCTTAAAAATCCAGGAAGGGAAAACAACATATACATAAGAACACAATTATTTAACATGGTTTGATAATTTACATACATCAACAGGACAAAACAAACTAACAATAAATTTGAGGAAAAAAACACTTAGAAGTTAGAACTTCTACCCCGATTCTCGCACATGTACAAAACAAACTTGATTTGTGAGATAAAGCACAAGAGGGAGATGCATAAGTGAGAATTACATATAATTATATCGGGAAGCGTTTATCTTTTAAGATTAATTTTCAGCCAACATTGAACAATTTAATGGTAGTCTTCATTGTAGGCTTTTGTCGTAGCCTCCATTATAGATTTTTATAGCAGCCATTATTTAGGACTTTTGTGGTAGCCTCTATTTAGAACTTCATAATGTGAAGTAAGCCATCATTATCAACACTACCTACTTCATAACCACAGCTTAACGAAATTGGTCTACAACCATAATATAATCATGCTCAATAACCCTTGTGATAGTAAAAGGTTTGACTTGTAAAGAACCATGTGAGAGCTTTGCTTGGTAATAACTTACTTAATTCAATTTTATGGCCATACTCAACATCTAATTCTTGATCCTTATCTCATAAATTACAAGACAATTGTAATGACTTTACACGTAGTGACCTAATTCTGATCTAGAAGAAATAGAATAATTTGATTATAAGTATATTTATTTAAAAAAACTATTTTGACTCATCAATTTGCATATTACCATATAATCAAATTGATTAATTTATTTGATTTTGCTTCTTAATTTTCATGTAACTAAGTAATAGCAAATAATACATAACAAGGTAGAATAAGAAAAAATAATTTATTTAAATTTACCATTATTAAACTTCCAATATAAATTCACTTGAAAAAAAAATCGTATCTCCCATAACTTATGTGGCCTTAAAACTTGTATCAAAGAGTGAATATTAAACTAAATCTCATATTGAGCGGTTATTGATTTGGAGGGTGAAGCATTATTATTTGTATTATTAGGATCATAATAAAGTCCACTTCAAGCATAAATTTTATTATCAAACGCATATCTTGAGGTGATTCAGAATGACTAAAGTGGTGCCTAATTTGACTAGGTTCGACAAAATTGGAGACTTGGAAGCTCAAATGACATGTATGCCCTCTTACAAGATTTGATGCACATCAATGAGTTTATGAACATCAAGACCATTCAAGAAATGATGACATGTACCAATTAGGTTGATTAGGCCGAGCTCCACCATCACCCTCTCCCCAAACATACATGGGACAGAGCCAGTTCATGAAGTAACCTAACTATGGAAACTTGACTAGGGGTGCCATTGGTAAACCCCTTGGCTCACTAGAACACGAGCAACACACTGATAAGGAAAATGCATCATATATTCAACAAATGCACCGACATACACTCATTAATATGCAAATAATTCATAAGGTTCTTAACTTCTTTAAACAATCATGCATCATATATTCCACCATTTCATGAGATGTTTGTCTCTAATCACACTTTAGAGGAGAGGAGCCCATCATGTAAAAATGGTAATAAATTTTTACCCATATTTATCAAATAAAACCACGAAGCGGTGAATATTCTCTTTTTTTTTGCCAATCCTCCCATTAAAACATCAGTCTGTCATCATCCATTCATAATAATGCCGCTGCCTAAAATATTCAACCTAAGTTGTTTCCTATGGGTGGCAACATTGGTTGTTTTGATTATCTTGGGTTTAGACAAATTATCCCATTTGCAACCGAAAACTAGTCAAAATTTAATCATGAAAAGATATAATGTCCATCTACGGATACAATCCAACCCATGACAAGGGTTGCATCGGATGTGCTCCTTACATAAGCCAATAATCAACAACGACCACTTTCTTTTCCAATAAACGGACCTCCTTGTCACAATAATTAATACTAGACATGTCACCCCCAAAGCTAATCGAAGAACATTGACATCAAGATTACTACAAGGATCATATTGTAATCTATGTGGATGCTACCTGGGTACATCGCTACTAGTGCTACTTGGGATGTCATTTTCCCTACAATTACATTCTTCTAATGTGTTTACAATTGATGCTTCTAACTTGTTTACAATCGATGCATGTACTAACCTAAGTGCCATCTACATTGTCTTTTGACTACCCAACTGCAAAATTAAATTTATGTCCATCCAAGTAGAAGGAGGTGGACTATTCTTGTACTTTTTTTTATTGAAATGGTGCATCTTTGCAATTGCGCAAATCCTCTTTTTTTTCTCAATAAAATTTTGACAATAAATTCGCGTTATTTTTTATTTTATGCATGTTTAAATTTCTAGAGCGGGTGAAGTGTTCAAAGACAACAAGTAACTTTAATCATCATAAAGCAGCTCATTTTGATTTGTTGGTTGAGGGCTTTGACTAACAATCAAGAGGTCTTGAATTTGTGGTTTGAATATGCGATGTATTTTTGAATTTGTCTTAATTGAACTAAATGTTATTAAAAAAAAACTTTAATCGCCATTTATATCATTAAACAATGATATACATATTTCTCAGAATATCGATAATGTACCTGGATAGTTTTGCTGAGCAGGATACGGTTGGCCTCAACCTCAACCTTATCACCAAGGAAAGCAGGCTTGATAAAATTGATGGATAGCTGGATGCCGGCGACGCGCTGGAAGCCGGAGGCCATATAAGCGCCGGCGCTCGCCACACCTTCCGCCACAAAAGCCGCCACACCTCCGTGCATTCGCTTGAACGGCTTAGATCATTCGCATCCAAATTCAAAATCAAGAACTCATATTCACTTATGGCTCTTTTTTATAAATACAAGAATAACAACATACCTGGCACCAGGATTCGCTGACGGTGAGGTGGCCAGTGATCTTTTCCGGTGAAACGTGGCTGTACTCGAAACCTAGGGCGTGGAGGGGACGATCTACCTCTGCCGTTATGGCCGCCGGAGTTGGCCTATCAAGGGGTTCTTTGGGATCTCCGGCCATCCGCCGGCTATCAGATGTTTCTATCTATGGATTGGGGGAGTGGATTGTTTGAAATTTTCGGCGGTCATATCACCATTTCTTATCTCTCCGTCGACCGATTCTTTTGTCCGGTTGCGTCCATGACGCCGAGCAGGTAGCTGAATGGAATAATTAAGATTACGTATATCAATGCGGTGGATCTTGTCTCAGTATAGAAAAACTCCATAGAAAAATCAAACTCTTTAAAAAAAAACTTTTTATATGTTGTATATATCATTTTTCTAATCATTTTGACATATTAATATTAAAATTTCATCTGATTATTTTGTTTATATACCATTTGAATTAAAATTAGTAGCATAATATTAAGTATAAAATAATCAAGAGTTGGTATATTGTTATTGAACATGAAATACACGATATGTATACATTTACTATTTATTTTGTCAAATATGCATTTTTGACATATTACATACATACTGATGAGTATAGTGATAATTACATTGGATGTATGTGATATTTGCTATTAAGATCTATATAATATAAAATGTATGTAAATGTAAGAAAGGCTAGCTGAAAATGATTAATTGATTTAAGTTGGCTATATACATGTTATCATGTACAGGAGAGTGGGTCGACGAGCTTTTTTTTTAAATAAGATTTCAGTATAATTCTAATTGATATGAAGAAAAGAAATGTATAAGGGGCTAGCGATATGATGTGATACACCAACAGATAAGAAGTGATGACTTCTTATATTAAAACCACATAACTTATAACATGTGATATGAGGCTGATTTTTGGCAACATAATTGATATTATTGAGAATGATTCTTGTAGGGTTGGCATGTAGCATCTGTTACACAAAAAATACCAAAGATAGCTAGGTATCCTACCTTACTTGCATATGTATATGATATGAATATACATAATAATTGCATATACTCATACTTATTGCATAAGCGACACGATATATGACATGGTTAATACATGCCTTGATACGACTGATGCGATTAATAAGATTGATACAAAGGCCTCTGACAAGAGAGATTATTCTGTGCGGACACCAGACACAACTTACCGTCTAGAGGCCAATCAGGTGCAGTCACGTCATCCAATACCGAACTCAGTACCGAGCTGTGGTACCAAGTAGGGGTGACGTGGCCCATTTTCATTGAGCTCTGGACGACGTTCGGTATCGCACCTAATAATTTCACCTCTGACACGTGAATTGTATGGTATACATTATATATGAGCATGATACAATACTTGATATATATGCTTTGATATTGTACAACATACATATCAAATACATAACACTTACTTTATATGACATATATACCAACACTTGATACAACATATAAATTGAGATAAAAGGACATAATTTATATGCATGTATGGATTCATGATAGACCTATTGCTTTGCACTTGATATGAGTGTAAGAATGACAAAATCTAGTGATCCTTTATTTGGCTATTAATCATCAATTATAAATTATATTATTTACATTAATTTACATTGCTCATATGAGATGTCATTGTTCACACTAACTAATGTATGTTTAAACGTTATATATTCACACTGATATATATGAATTGAATGATTACATTATATAGCTTTATATTGTCATGCATTAATCACAATTGTAGGTTCTGATAACCTACTAAATTATTAGCTCGCTCTATGATATATATATATATATATATATATATATATATCAGGAAAAGATCAGGATCAAGTGAAGTGAGATCGATCAAATTTTAAGTTTTATGTTATCTTATATATTTTTTATTTTATTCTTTTATAGTCAGTAGCCTAAAATAAAAAAATGATGAACTGCTTAATCTCATGATTATTGTAAATTATACTTTGCTAAATGAATATAAAAATATATTGAAAGTATATTATTTATAGTTGATTTCGTAGGATTTATTTATATTAATGAGTTATTAAAATTTCTGGAAGATTAATTAAGAGCTAAAAAGATAAATTAATCAAAATCAAATATGTTGTGAATTCATGATAATGAATGTTGCAATATATTTCAAAATAGACTTTTTTAAGATTTATTGTGAATTAGAGCATATTCACTTTTAGATCTCTTATCGAGCTTGTAAGGGTGTAAAGTAAGGCTTTAGCCTCACTACATTATTTTTATCGAGCTTGTAATGGTGTTAACTAGCCATAAAATGATTTAACATAAAATAGATTTTATTATGTAAGATCTTTCTCTTGAGAGGAAGAAACGCTTCCTCTTTTTGAGTTTCTTGAGGAGGAGGGATGGAAGAGAAGAGGGAGAGAGCCAAAACCCAAAGAACTTTATTTCTTGACCATCCTTATTACAACCTAAAGAGCTCCTATTTATAGACACTTAAAAGCTATACAAATGGCAACACCAATGGCTATACAAGTCATACAAGAAATCTAAACAAAATACAATCCTAAATCTAAAATCAATATCTAACAATCTACACATTGGTCCTAAATTTACACAACAAAAGATAAGTACTACTGTTCACAAAGAACGACCAAAGAGCAACCCGCCGATCTTCCTCGCCAAAAGAGTTCACCGGACAGCTAATAATTTTCTCAAGAACTGCTCCACCTTCTTCTTGAGTTTTCTGCTTCACAAGCTCTTGCTCCACCTCCCGACAAATCTTGTTCTATCGCACTACATCCCACGCAGTCAATTCTCGAGCACCCTGCGTGCCTCACTTCCGCGCCCTATGCATCCAACTGCACCTTGCGCCTCGTGCCCGCGCCCTGAGCCTCTAGCTCTGCTCCCGTGCCTTGCACTCATGTGGTCCGACTCCAACCACATCTTGCGCGTATTCACCCGTGCGTCACAATCCCACGCCCTGCACTGCCACGTCTGGCCAGCGTCCTGTGCGTCCTTCACCAATGCCCTGTGCTCCTATGCGACATCCTCGTGCACCGCACGACCTCGCACCTCCAAGCACCCCGCACTCCCGGCACTGCTCCTCAAGAACACGCCGAATCCACTTCTTTGTCTCCCGGACTCCACCTGAAGTCCAAAACTCCACCTACAAAGAAGATCTGATCTCTCTTTCCTACTGCAAAATGCAAACCAACTCAAGCTTTCATATCCACTTGAATCCACTGGATCTGCATCCCGTCAAGAACTCCACCTTGAATAAATTTCCTTCTTGAAGACAGGAAATCTCCAAGAAGCGTACTAGACCAGCCAATCTCCGAAAATCTTGATTTGTTTGCGATCTGTCGCGTGATTCCTCTAGTCCGGAGTAACGATCGCCTGTCCGAATTAAGCCTGCTAGCCGCTTGCTCTTCCCCGGATTCTGGCGAGAGCCCTCTAAAGGTTGTTGCATTGTCGTTGGTCATAGCGACGCGGTGCTAGTGCAGACTTTGATATTTGTGTTTTTTAATTTCCTGATATATTTCTACACAATATCAACTAAGGCTTCGTTTGGATCGGCTTTATTCCTGCTTCTTAAGGCTTCGTCTCTGGAATTATAGCCATTATCAGATTTATCAGTTTTTAATAAACTATAACAAAAAAAATTGAATAGGTAAAATCAACTAGTAAATATTTGTTATCTTTCAATCAAAATGTATATAATAAAGTATTCTACAACATATTAGAAGTTATATAGTAAAAAAATTGTTATAATAATTAAAATGCATTTTTACACTTTTTGTTTCATAGAAATATCGAGAATGGAATTAGAAATAGGATATATACTGGGAGACTATATTGAGTGGAATAATTCTTTTAACTGGCCCAATGGACAAACATCGCTCTTTGGCATTCGAACTCCTCTCTTTCCCTTCTCTCTTCTCTTTCATTCTCTTCTTCTTTCTCCAACAAGCAGTTGGGGGATGAGGGGTGGTGAAATGAATATAAATATTTTATAATTTAATATAAGTTATAGTTCTTAGCGCCATGACACTCAGCCTTGTAATGCCCACAATGTTTGACTGAAATGTTCTAGATTCCCCCAGACTCCTCCGAACTGAGAGCTCAACACCGCAACACTCCTTCCCATTAACACACTATTCCCTTAATTATTATCACAATACAAAGAGGGTAGCATCACAATGATGCCAGTATCAGTGCCGTAGTGCTTCCCAGAGCTTTTGACCTCCTATATATTTCAAAATTCATTTCTATTTAAATTTAATCATCAAATAACTTTAAATTTCAAAATGAAATTTAAACAGTTCACGAGTCATAACAAATTTAGTCCAATCAACCAAGTTCTAGAACTACGAATATTACCAACTGTCAGCTTGCAACAACAAAAAATATTAGTAAAGATGCTATAACTCGCCAACAATCGTGTCAATGTTTAGAAGTAAAACAACATATAGCTAAGACCTCTTCCTTAAATTGCTCAAAAGATGTCTCAATAAAAGACTTACTATAGGTCCCTAATTAATGGATTAATTATTCTATGCGGCGTCGAACGTCTTCAAGAGACCAACGAAAATGCGCCACATCACCTCTTCATTGTGTATTGCGACTCGGTACTGCTTGGTACCGCAGCTCGGCGCTGCTAACGTGGCTGCACCTGATTTGCCTCCGGACTTAGAGTTGCGTCCGGCCTCTACACAGAATAATTTCTACTAATAATAATAGGGGTTATTACCCCATGATTCAATGAATCAAAGGAATACTGCACTTCCAATAGAATTATCCACACCACCATCACAGGACATGATTTCCTAAGAGGCAATTAAGGATAAGTGGTCCATTAATAAGTGGAAGTGAAGAGTTTCCATTCAACTTTCTACTAAAAAAAAAGACATAATTGATTAATATTTACAAGCCTTCAAATACATAGCCATTACCAATACATTACACAACACCAAAAAAAACTAATTAAGATTTTATTTGAAACAGCTTTTGAACTGCTTTTTAAAACAGCTTTCTAGTAAATACATTTCAAAATTAAATTTTTTTTTACTAAAAACCGTTTTAGAAAAACAAAAAAAAAACCCTCCCTAAAACTTCTATAAATCACCATTTCCTCCTCAACTTATCAGCAGTTGTTATCTTCAGCTTTCTGACATGATTTAAGAAATACCTGCATTCAAATCAAATAAATTAATATTAAATACTAAATAAATTCAAAAAATATGTAAAATAAAATAAAATAAAATAAAACACACCCCCATGAAATATCTCCAATCATCATCCAGTCTCCCTCATGATC